CGTAATCAGCGAACGGAAGCTCGAACCAGCGGCACGATTTCCGTCGTGCGTTCACGTGTAAGCCTAGAGGCGACTGCTTACGTGGGCCGTGACAAGTGCATCCGGCACATCGAAGGATTACCGTTCGTTCCGTACGCAATCACGACGTCCGATTACTCTTGGAAAACACTCGACGACGGGGAGAGAGACCCCTCTTAGACAAACCTATTTGCTAAACGTCGAAACCGGTCGAAGGATATCGGCGTCGCGTCGGTTCGTGTCTTCCACTGCGAAACGAAATCGGCCGCTAAACGTTTTCTGTTGATCCGCTCGACGACGTTTAAGCGCGTCTATTTGCCAGCCTCGCGAGCCAAGAATCCAACAAACCGGCGGAAAATATTTTCTCGACCCTCCAGGACGCGAACGGCAGTCGTTTAACCCCTCGAGTTGTGAATTTACGCGATCGTTATGCGGACAGGGGCGATTTCTGCGCGGTCGAACGTTTTTGTACATTTCGGTGTTGTATGAACTCCGTAAATCGCGTGTATAGCTACGATACAACATAAAAGAACTATTAGAAGTAAATTCTATGTTTAAATTCACCCCGTACACTCAACAGTCCGCGCGCCCCTCTTTCTATTCTATTCTTTTTTATGTGCTATATATGAGCCGTTTGTTTTGAAAATGGCGTAAGTCCATTTATGTTCAAATCGAGATATTGAAGGGTTTGCGTTGGATTAAATTTAAAAATATGGATAACAGATGACATATCATATCACTCAATAAGTCCCCGGTCTGGCGCATATATGGCAACATTGTTGACAAACCTACGTGATGTCCGGGTAGTATGAACCTTCAAACAGTACGTGTCCAAATTTCGTGGCATTCTGACCGTTAGTTTAGAGGTTGCAGTCGTTTTAGTGATCCCAGTTTTGTCATTTTCAAGACAATGGATAGAAAGGAATTTCGTGTGTTGACTAAACACTGTTTTTTGATGGGGAAAAATACTGTTGGAGCCAAACAGTGGCTTGATAAGCATTATGGGGACTCTGCACCAGGGAAATCAACTATTATTGACTGGTATGCTGATTTTAAACGCGGTCGTACAAGCACCGATGATGCTGAACGGTCTAGTCACCCAAAATCGGCAGTTGTTCCGGAAAATATAAAAAATGTCCACAAAATAGTTTTAAAAGACCGTAAAATGAAGTTGCGGGAGATAGCTGACACCTTGAAGATATCAGAAGGTAGTGTCTTTACAATTTTACATGAAAATTTGGGCATGCGCAAGCTGCTTTCGAGGTGGGTGCCGCGTTTGCTCACACCGGACCAGAAACAACAACGCGTCAACGATTCCGAGCGCTGTTTGGAGCTGTTCAAACGAAATAAAAAGGATTTCTTGCGTCGGTATGTGACAATGGATGAAACATGGATCCACCATTACACGCCTGAATCAAAAAGATCGTCAGCTGAGTGGACAGCAGCCGGTGAAAGTCGTCCAAAGCGACCAAAAACTCAAAAGTCGGCTGGCAAGATTATGGCATCCGTATTTTGGGACGCGCATGGAATTTTATTCATCGACTATCTTCAGAAAGGCAAAACTATCAACAGTGAATATTACATGGCATTATTGGATCGATTGAGTGCAGAAATTAAGAAAAAACGGCCCCACATGCAAAAGAAAAAAGTGCTGTTTCACCAGGACAATGCCCCGTGTCACAAGTCGATGAAAACAATGGTTAAATTGAACGAATTACGCTTTGAATTGCTTCCCCACCCACCTTATTCTCCTGATTTGGCCCCCAGCGACTACTGGCTTTTTGCAGAGATGAAAAAGATGCTCCAGGGAAAGAAATTTCGCTCAAATGAAGATGTGATTGCCGAAACTGAGGCTTATTTTGAGAGCAAAGACAAATCGTTTTACACAAAGGGCATCGAAAAGTTAGAGGAGCGTTGGAATGAATGTATCACTCTTGAAGGAGAGTATGTTGATGAATAAAGTGGAATTCCTAAAAAAAAATTTGTTTTTCTTAGTTAGACCGGAGACTTATTGAGTGATGTGTTAGTAGAATAATGTTTTTGGGTTTCTAAGGGTGTCAAATTTATCATCCTAATTAGCATAATTAACATTATCTAAGAAATAATATGTTTTTGATGGCTATGATTAGACTTTCGGCACTTTCAAAATCAATGAATTGACATTTTCAATTCTTAAGAAAGCACAAGTCCATGGGAAAAGTCCCTTGAAATCAAAATAAATGTATACACTTTTATGTTATAAAATTAAAAAAATATTCAACTTTTATTCTCTGTTAAATAATTTTGACATTAAAATTAATATTGTTTCATTAATTATTATACAATCTTCTCAAGTTTGGTATGCAGGTGGTATATAATGTAATAAATCCATTAAGTCCTTGTATTTTAGGTTTGTGAGTGATCTCGTTGTTTTGTGTAGTGATGCCAACTTGATATTATTAAAGTTTTTCGGTCTTCCTCGTTACGGTAGTAAATCCAATGTTTTGAATAGTGCATCCTCGTTTGTTGTCGTTCGTTTCTCAAAAATTTCATCCAACATATCTTAAACCAATGTACTCTTTCACCGTCAGTATTTTTTCATTTCACATTGATAATTCAACTGGTACTTTGATAATACTATGCAACAAAATAAAAAAGCTGGGATCCCATAAAATTTTATTTTATTTTTTATTTAGCTTATTTAGCTTATTCAAAATAAGCTTTTTCATCACTTCATTAACCAGCAAATTTTCGTGTTACAAAATCTTAATGATTTTAAATATATTAGTAACAAGTTGCTTCAGAATGAAAAGATCATGTAAAAATGTAACTATTAAGGTAGCTAACTCGATTTTTTTGGAAAATGGACTTACGCTACTTTCAAAATAAACGGCTCATATATACTTTTCTGTATCAAATGTAGAAGCGTGCGTTTTTATTAATAAACAGTGTAATATTTAAATACAAGTCTGTATAGCTTCATAAGACTGTTTCTGATTCCGGCTGAATATCCTGAAATGTATTCTAACAAGAACAAATCGAAAATAGAGAATAATGATAATTGTTGCGATATGTTCTTCAGTTACGAAGAATCTAAATTTTTGACTGTATCTATGTAAGTTAAAGTTTTTCTATCGTATGGGTTTACAACATAAAAAAAACAAATCGAAAATAGAGAATAAAATTTAGTATCTTTTGATGCTTTACTTTCGAGAGCATCTAGATCGTGAAAATTGTTGCGATATGTTGTTCAAACAGTTACGAAGTTAAAGTTCCTCCATAGTATAATTTTTATACAGGTGTTCTCAACATAAAAAAGAACAAATCGAAAATGGAAAATAAAATTTTGTACCGAGATAATTGAATCTGAAAATTCATCGCGAGCCCGTGCGTATATTGAACGAGCACTGGTTTGTCTGTCCACAGACCCACTGATTCTACTTCTACTGAATTCCAAATCGTACTCCGCTGCACCCACGATGAATTTTCAAACTCGATTCCATCTTAAATGATCAAACCTAGGATCTAGAAATATTTACATCGTTCGAACCAAAACAAATATGTAAAGATAAAAATAACTAGAACGACGCAGGTAGCGTAAAAAAATTTGCAACCGTGAAAAATGTATCCGGATTAAAGTTTCATTACCAATATACATAAAATACGGTGAATTAAAAATTACTCGTAACCGTGTAGCAGTGTAGATCGACATTAATGTTCGTACACGATGATTACGGATATGAGTTGCGTTTTTAAAGGTCGCGTACGACGAGGTAGTTTTAATGTCAACAGGCAGTTGAAGCAGTATGTAATTGATGATGTAACTGACAACGTTGTTTGACAACGATGAAGTCGTAAAATGTTTCTAATGCCTGGCTGTAAGTGCTCGAGATGGTAGTGGGAAGATAGAGAGTGCGGAGGTTGTCGTTCCTGGAACGTCTCCCATCGGACGAGTCGATTTTTTCGTCGAGTTTACTATGCTTACATAATTATGACGTACGACTACATATTTCGTTAACGTCCGCGCGTTATTCCCATTACGCTAACGAGTTCTGTTCTTGGAATAATTTTTCTTTTATCACGGTACAAGCCGCTTTAAACGCTCTTTTTATTAATTTTTCTAATTATACCCTCTAGACGGTTTTTTTTTTTCTACTCCTGCTTGAAACGCGTCAGCGTCTGCTTTCCTTTGTAAATTTATTAAGAATTTGTGCACCGTATGGGCAAACAAAATGTGTTTATTCCTTTATTTTCTCGTTTAAGTCGTAAAAGGAAACTCGTCAGTTTGTTGCAACGGCACATATTTACGACGCGCTATTAGTTGTATTAACAACGAAGTTTTTATAATAATCACTTCTGTCCTATTTGAGGAGACGTTACTCTAAATATCCTCTCCATTAATTTCATTTAATTGCAGTTTCCAATTGCTATGATACATTCTCATTTCGAAATGTCAGCGTCGACTTGCATCAGTAAATTCGCCGATAATCGATAATCCCACGACCTCGTTAAACGACCTAACGTATTTCGAGAACATATCGTGGTAGAAGATCGAAGTTTTATTTAAAAAAAAAAAAATTTTTAGCGTCTTTTAATGGGTTGCTACGAAGGACACATCCATAAAAAGATATTAACTGTAATGCAATTTTCATTTATCAAAAGCGATTTAAATTTGGTAGGAAAAATTTTGGACAATGCTGGGAATAGTATTCCATACTAAGGGGCCTCTGACTGCTCCTGAAAATGTTTAATTCGACACTCTCGCTGCTTGCAGTATTCCGTAACGTAAAAATAAAGCGAATAAAGTCGATTGTCTCGAGATGGGATGATAGCGTTCGTATCTCGAGAACGAATCGAGGGACAAAGAAGTTTCGCGTGTGAAAATTTGGTCTCGTCGACGGGGACTGTTTTTGCGAGAGAGAATGGCGCAACATGTCCCGACGAGCGAAAAACTGTTGGATGACCGGTCGAACTGACCTTATCGTTTTATTTTTGTGTTTCAGGGTCCGCCGCAGCCCGGCCAGCAATATAAATTCTCGATCGGCGAGCTGTGCGATCGTATCAAGGAGGACTTCAACTTTCTTCAGACACAGTATCACAGGTAGACCTCTATTTTCAACAGCCATAAATCAACCCCACCCTCTCGAGGCGCACTCTCATTACTCGAAAGAGTGTAATAACTTCGAGATCGATTCGTGTTGGAAAATTATATTTAATAACTGTCGCGTTGGTTAAAATGTTGTCGTCCGTTCAGGAACGTGCACGCGATCATCGCCGGGAGTGAAAACCAACGTTTGATTCCGTCTTCATTGACTCAATTTTCAGTAATTTCGAATCGTTATAAATTCACGGTACTGCTCGCAATTATTCGCGTTTAACCGCTGGTAAAAACGCGAAACATTGTATTTGCGACGTAAATACATTCGTCTTGCGCTGTTCGGCGTTACGATGTTTGCTCGACAGAATATAAATAGAAACGATACGTTAACCGACGCAAATGAAATGAAAGAAAAACGGAGGAAATTGCTTTTTTTGACGTCGAAGAAATATGAATATTAAACGACTCTGAAGAAATCCAGTCCGAATATTTATAGCGATCTGTAATTAAAACGCACGCTTTCGGGATAAATTATACACGTATGTATTCAGAATATATAAATAAATCACGATCGCCGTGTTTAGCGAGAACTATACCATAGATGTAAAATGAATGTTTGTTATCGAACAATAATAATAATAGAAAGGCCTTCGAATATCGCAATAAAACGTAATTATTCCACGTTTATTGTTCTATTTTCCATTTGCCTTCGACCGGTTATCTTATCTTGTGAACGTAGTTGTTTACATTCTTATATTTTTTTTTGCAACGTTGCGAGCAAGGGGGATATTGTTCTTTGTTAATTAATCGACTGCAGTTGATACGCCTAGATGTACGCGGGATCTTGTCTAGGAAACGTTTGCGCAAACGTCGTGTAGGCGCGTAGGCGTACCGAGCAGACAAATCGACAGATATAGGCAGAGAATTGTTTGTCCAAGCGGAAGCTATACACACTCAAGTATGCACATAGCTCGGAGGACGAGGAGGCCTCGCGGTTCGAATTCTATGCACGCGTGTTACGCGTCCGCGAGCCATTCAGCTTCTTCGCGAGCCATTCCGCAACTTTTCTTCACCGCGGTTATAACGTAGCGTTTCCTTCGCCGTTGCGCAACATTCGGATACAGATAAAAACAACACCGAGTCCATTTTTTCTCTAAAAATTAAATTATAGCGGTCTACTGTTGGTCAACGTTCTGGTACACTATACTATTAGTACCTTTTCACAGTGAAAGTTAGAGAAAAGGAAATGTCATTAATTGATATTGATAGCAACGTAGCTGTGGAGAGATTAAAACGTAGCAAGTTACTGTACAAAGCGTCTACCTAGCCGCCATTATTTTGCCTCTTAATGACACACCGTGACGTAGAAGCAGATCTAGATTCACTAAAGAAGAGATACAAAATGTTTGTGTAGTGCATTTGTTGAGAATAAGCATTTCATGCATGTATTTTTAATGAAAATTTGTATCCATTGGTACAGTCCCCTCCCTTGCAAAGGTCAGTACTAACTGACGAGGACACTCGTTTATTTCACCCTATTAGCGTCTCGTTTTTTTCCCCCGAGCCCCAAGCTCAGTTAGCAGAAAACCGTCAAGCTAAGAACAGCATTTTCGTTTTGTAAAACTACATCAATTAAATACATACTCAGGTCGAAACTCTGTCGTATTTATTTAGCAAATAAATATTCAGCAGCATTGTTTTTGAGAAATATGGATCAGTAGGTATTGTCCGGAGTGCCCAATGAGACGTGGTAATAGCAGAAATTCTTATTTCTGACTCGATGGCAACTTACGATCTATACACGGTAGTTCGGTGCCGTCTTTACACGAGTCGTGAAACGATCGCCCAACGAACGCAACAGAGAAAAATGGCGACGTATCGAATAAAACGCTTTATCCTCGGCGGTCCCGATTCTCGCTATCGAGTCTCGAAAAACACGAAACGAATAATCGGCAATTTCGACGAGCTTCTGCGGTTATGTTCCGAGGCGTCGAGCCGTTGGAAATATATAACCGTCATAAAAACGTAACAAGTATGGGAATACGAGAGGAGGGGCGGTAATCGAGCGATACGATCTCTCACGCGATGGACGGGGAAAAGTAGCCCGATAAGAAAACTTTCTTCGTACGTCGTCGGTTTACATCGTTCGTCCGACTGTCCCTATCGGCGGGCTCGACACGTTAATTTATGTCCCCTGGCCCTTTAACGTGTTAATTCGCGACGTCACGTGCCGCACGATTTCCACCGTCGACGGAAACTTAAATTGCTGTTTCGTGTCGCTGCGACACGGGACACGCTGGAGGGACGGGGAGCAGTGCGACGGACAGAGAAAGAGAGACCCAGAGCCCTCGGGGCTGTGTGCATACATGCATAAATATGTGCGAGACGAACGTGCACGGCGTGCAACATTTCGACGGGACTGGCCGTTTTATACGGGAACAGCCAGAAAGTGGACGATTTCGTACACCGTGCACGGCGACTCTTTCGTTGGAGTTGCTTGGTTTTTCCTTCGCCACGCCCCCCTCTCCCCCCGAACTGTCAGGGTTTTGCTCGCGGTAGGCGGGAATTAAATTGTTTGCCGCGGGAACGCGCTGTCGTGACTAATGATCGTAACGCTTTTCGCTGGAACTGTTTGATAGCGCGCACGAGCGTGTAGCCCTTTGTAGCCAGGCGCATTGTTTGCATTGCGTCGGGATAGGTTTCGTATCTTGGACGTGTAACTTTTGAAAGCGGTACAATTTTATGCTGGTCGATTGTTCGGGTTATCTGACGGTCGGGGAACCAGCCATGCCGGTATTTCTGATAAAAGGCTCTCTTTTTCAATGGAAAGTGGAACCACGTTAGAACTTTGCACGCGTGCCGGATAAAAGTTTCGAATTTATTGGCAAAACGACTTCCGTTCGTGTTCGATTCGCGTATTACGACTAGTTAACGGATTCTTTTTCAACGCGATGGCCAAAGCTGGAGATAAACTCTACTCGTTGCACCGTGAATCGAGCTTCCGTCGTCGACTTAATCTGGCGATTCTTAAGGTATGATTCCACTGAGGCAACACTATGCGACTTGTAACATGCCACATGTCGTTCGGTAACACTATGCGACCTGTAGTATGCTACTTGTCATTAACTGACGACATTGCTCGACATGTTCAATCTTGTCGATTCGACAAAACAATATCAAATAATCCCGCATTTCTTTATTTCGGAAAGGAAACAAATGAATGTGTAGCAAATACACATGTCAAGTGTCTACATAACGTCGATTTCATGTTGCATGCGTCATTGCCGCATGCTACATGTTGCCTCAGTGGAATCACGCCTTTAAGGGGCCATTCTACCTTGTAGGCATGAAAAATACGTGTTTCTTTGTGATTTTTTTTTGCGGGTTATTAAAGAGCGATTAATTCCGGATTTTGTAGATACATTTATTATATATTTAGCTATATTTACGAATTTTTGCAACGCATAATATCTATTGATTACGCTGTTTTTATTGATCATCAAACAACAGTTTTTACGAACGGCACCCGACTGCGTACGTGATATATTGCGAACAAGTCATTCGAAATCCTAAAACCAACGATATTCTTAATATAGATGAGTGTGGTTATAGCATGAACTAGGATCTTTTCAAAAAAACAAAAAATGGCAAAATGGCAGCTATTTTACGAAAAAATACTGAATATTTTCATATATTTGGGTGCTTTTTTGTTAATAAAAGAAAAAGTATTGCATATATCGCAATTATCCTAGTTCATGCTATAGGGAGACCAGTTCTGAAGATCCTGTATAAATTTGATGTTGATATCTTGAATAGTTTTTTAGTTATCACGCACGCAGTGCCGAAAAATGTAGTTTCGAGAAAAACAGCTTTAAAGTTTCACGTCCAGTTGTTATACCTGCGCGCGGTACATTTCAGCAGGTTATAACTTCGTTAGTTTTTCAAATTTCAATTTAATATTTGGTAGATATATTTTCGAGACAACATACTAAAGGAAAATGCAAAAAAAAAAAATATCGATTTTTTTAATCCCACAAGGTAGAAAGGCCCCTTAAGATGAACATCGAGATCGAAGCGAAATTGCACTCGTACTTGTATTTGAGAAGGCTACCGATTCGGAATTTTTTTTTATATTCGATCAAAATGAAAAAATTTTTATGGGAACATATTGCAATTTAACTTGTCGGTTTAGTAGAAAAATTAGGAAAATACAAAATTTAATTTACATCTCACCCCCTCTTGAACAGTGATTTCAAGAACAAAATCAATTAGTCATGAAAAAAAGGAGAAATATATATACACACACATTTAAGCAGAAACTAAAAGAAAACTAATGTAAACATATCTATAATAATAAAGTGTAGGTTGGCGACTGTGTGGTGACATACGAGTGCAAAGGGTTAAATGTCGTCTTTCGAAACGTTCAACTTACAAGTCACGGTGTTCACTTTAAGAATCACTACTGTATTCGATTCGTGAACTCGTCGAAAAGCTACACCATCGTGGATTGTGATCTTTTCTAATTTCTTTCGTAATAATGTGTAAATACTGGGAAATAGCAGAATCTACTGGATTTTTAAATTTACTTAGTTTTGCATCAAGCTTGACAGATCTAATTTAAAGAGTTGACCGTCGTCTAAAAATTTCTATCTTCTTCGTGTAGTCTGTATTATTTATTATACACGTAAAAATCCATTAGCGTATGTTGGATTATTAATAAATAACCCTAGGGGCCTGGGTCTGTCTTTGTCGTCGAGGGCCAGGGAAATAAACATGATGCAGGGGCACTGGTTTCTTTCCGTTTTAAGTGGACGCCAGATTTTCCTTTATGGGATCTAAGCGTCGCCTCATTTGTTTAGTTTTAACAGAGTAAAGACGTCCTTCCAAACCATATAATAAAGTTTCACTTTTACTTATAAAGAGTACTTCTTTTTCACCCAATTACAATAGCGTACAAGAGAAAATATAACGATAACAATGTAGAGATAAACAGTATTGCTATC